CTCATCATCAGGGTTAAGGGGGTGAGGGCCACTCAAGTCTGCATCCCTGGGGCCTTATGTCCTGCTGTGAATGTCCTCTAGGTGAGGGCTGAAGGGGCATTGAATTGGTGGAAGCCCTCCTCTCATCTGTCAAGCCCCAGCTCACCTACCCCGGCATTTTCTCTTAGAGGAGCAAGATTCCCACACTAGGACTAAGGACAGGACCATTGTGTCCCTTGGTTCACTCTCAGAAGCCCATAGCTTAGTTCAGAGACCAGCTGGAGGGGAGGGACACTCCCCTCCCCCTCTCTTACCAGACTGGTGGCTCCCCACTCCTTTCCTCTTAGGCCACCAGCCTCTAGACCCAGGCCTACATCCCCTTTCTCTCCCTCCTCATTTTCTCCTATGCTTGAGCATCATGACATCACTACCCCTCCAAACGCCTCTGCCCCTCTTCAGAGAGGCCAATTTGATGTGCTTGGCACCTTCTGGGCAAAGAGTCTGGAGTCCAGTGCTGCCCCTGGCAGACTCAAGACCCCTGGACCTTTTCCTATCCTCATCTCCTCTGAACAGGAGCTGTATTGCCCCTTGCAGCCCACCCCTCCCCTCTCCTCCCCCCCTCTCCCCCCCCCCCGCAAGCCTGCGCCAGGGATAGCTCTGACTACGAAGAGGGCTAGCCTGAGGTTTGCTTCTCTCTGATATGGGTGCTAGCCTTGCTGGAGAGCCTCTTTAGCTCCAAATCCTCCAGGGTTCTCAGAGGGGCTGGCCTCCATGGTCCCTGGTGCCCCCCAGATCCAGAGATGCGTCCCTGCAGCTCACCCCAGGTCTTCCTGACTCTGCTACTCCCCAGCCAGGACTCTGTGTCTCCCCCCCCCCATTCCTGCTCACCCCTTGCCTGGCACCAGGTAGGAGGGAGATATGCAAATTAATTCCTGTGTGACTCAGGCCAACCCCTCTTCTCTCCCCTCTGGTCCCCCAGGAACCAGTAAGTACCTCTTACATCCTAATCTCCTCATTCCACCCCCCCCAACACCTGCGGCCCAATTCTGCTTCTAAAAAAAAAAATCTCCTGTGCTCTCCTGCTCCCTCCCTTAGAAGATCCCTGTGGGTACTCTGGCTCTTCACCCACTCACTCTGCAGGTCCCTACTGGCGGCAGGGAGGGGGGAACAGCTGAGAGGTAAGACCTTACCTGACTGGAGTTCTCCCCCCCCACACACACACTTGGTACATTTTACTCCTGTGTAAAAGAAAGGAACGGTGAAAGAAAAACGGGAGTCCAGCATGAATGAGACCACAGACATCTTCGTTCCCATGCAGGCCTGAGCGGCACCGCTCTCCACACTGCCCAGCCTCCCCAGCTATGCTTGCAGCCTGCCCTGACCTAGCCTTCTGCTCCCCCTGAAGCTGGCCAGCCCAGCCTCTCTCCCTGGAGTGCTTGCTCCTCTCCACCCCCCCCCCACCTTCCCTGGCCGGGCAGGACTTCAGCACGCCTGCAGGGGTCAGCGTTGCAGTGGGCAGGCAGGACAGGCAGGACAGCCGGAGGAGGAGGGAGGGAGAGGTGACCTTGTGGTGAGCTAGTGAGCAAGGCCAGAGAGGGACCGGCTGAGAGAGGGGTCAGGCCCTAAGGATGGCCTACCAGCCCCCAAGCCCTCTGGGAGCTGAGCAGTAGTGCTCAAAACCTTAAGTCTGTCCCACCTGTTAGTGGGCTGTCTCTTATACACTCTGGCAGGTCATTCCTTAGGGTATGAGGGACAGACATGAACTGAGTGGAGGGAAGAGGCTTTGGCATGGTGAGCAGAGGAACCAAAGCTGACCCTACACTTACTGGGTACAAGTTAGGGGTCGAGGTCAATGAGGGTGTGTGTGTGTGTGTGATGCACTTACTGGGTACAAGTTAGGGGTTGAGGTCAATGAGGGTGTGTGTGTGTGTGTGTGTGTGTGTGTGTGTATGAAGCAGGAGTTAGAGGTATGGGCAGACTAAGGGTATCTTGGGAGGATTAAAGACCGGGGATGGAGATGGGGGAGGACCAAGGGTGGGGGAAGCAGTGCTGAACATTCCATCATTTCCCTGACAACTGCCTCTGGACCTTCCTCCTCTGGCCTGCCCTTCCTCCTCCAAGTACCCTGCTGCCTGCATCCTGGGCTTGGGGCAGAGGCTGGGGCTGAAGATTCATTAGCTTCCCAACAGGTATGGCAGGGAGAGAGCCTGGGAGGGAGCGGACTTCACATCAGAGTGGGAGATAGTGCCCTTCAGGGTATGGACCAATTGCCAGTACCCACAACCTATCAAGTTGATGTGGAGATTGGCTCTTTCTTGGCCCTGATTCATGAGGCTCTGTAGCTTTGGGGGACAGCCTGACCAGTCAGCTGGGTGCCCAAGGACTGCAAGATGGTCCCGAGGGAGGGGGCGTGGAGGGATGGAGATGGCCCCCGAAGGTTCTCTTTTGATGGTGAGCCAAAGCCGACTGTAGGAGGGTGGTGAGCCAGCTGGGGACAGGTGAAGAGACAGCTGTAAGGTAGGAGTAAGTAAGCGAAAGACCCACCTTGGGGCAGCTGGGTTCTAGCCCTGGCTGTCCCCAAGCTCAGGCCTCAGGGACACTGATAGCACAGCGCATGTCTGCCTGCCAGCCCTTGTGGTATAGCTTGTCTGTGGGAAGGGCAGAGGAGCCATGTGTGGCTCCCTCCCCTCCCTACATTCCCCCATCCCCACTCCCCACCCACCCCCTATTCTCACAGGGACTTTGAATCCTTATTGAATCTGATGGACTGTTTTTTTTTTCTTTTCAATAACCACTTCCCCTAGGGGAATGAGACAGAGAACAGCAGGAGAGATGTGGGTGAGGGGGGCCACATGTGGGCCAGGAGGCCCAGGCCAGAGGAAGAGTCAGCCTTGTGGCCCCCTGAGAAACACTAAAGCATCCCAGGTGGGCACAGGCGGCCTTGCTTGAAGCCAGCCCCCTGCTCCATGGGCAGTGCCCGGCAGGTGGCACGCGTGGCCAGCGAGGTCAGCTTTCTCTGTCAGGGCAGTCACTGGTCTGGCCAGGTGCCGGAGCTAGCCTGTGCCAGGCCCTGCCTGGGTACCCTCCTGCCTTGCCAGGGAACCACAGCCAGTGGTGCCAAGCAAATTGTGCCAGTTCCATGGACATGGAGGTCCCTGACCTTCCAGGCAGTGAGGGCAGACCTTCTGGACCCTGGCCAATTAGTATCTGGAGGTACAGGACTCTGTCTCACCCAGCACAATTCCCCAAGGGTTGGAACAGAGTTGGCAGACAGCAACGGGACCTGTGGAAGGGGCTGGATGGCGCCCAGAGCCTATGCCTGCATTCTAGATCAGTTGGTGGGAAGGTGGGCTGGGACGTCAGCCTGTTCCACGTGGCCTCTGCCTGGAGGCTCGTCTTGTCCCTTGCGGGGCCTGGCAGGACCTGACTTGTGTGGTGGGTTGAGAGATTTTCGGGGTTGCTGTGTTCACGTGACTGCACGGATGGGGCTCCAGGGCGGGGCGGGGGAGAAGCGGTGTCTGTGTGTACCTACGTGTGTGCGGGCGGCAGCTGGCCCGCAGTAATAGCAGCGCTCATCGGAGCGCCGTGCCCGCTGTAATAAACAGCATCTAATGAGTGTATTTGTAGCAAGGTGCGTTGAGGTGCGCAGGGAGCTATGACGATAAGCTTGGGGGAGGGCTCCTCCCCCAGCCCTGTGCCCAGCCAGGCAGGACCTATGCCCTTTAGGGACCTTGCCTGCCCTCTGCCACACCTTCCACCTGCTGGTTTAGCCACCTCTGAGGCCTCAGTCTTTGGGGAGCAAAGCCTTGCCTGGCTGTAAGCAAGCTTGCTTGGGTGTGGATGTGGGGTGTTCCTGTATGCAGATACAAACATTGCCACGACTGTGCATGCACACATGTATGTGGTATGTGTGTGTACATGCATGAGCACACAAGTGTAGGTTCCCCCCTAGACTGAGGTAAGGACTCACCCTGCCTCTAGAATGACCCCCAGAATGGCAAAACCAAAGATGTTCTTGGAAGAGGCACGTGCTGCTGGGGCTGCTCGTTCGCAGAGTGAGGGGGGCAGGGGGAGGGAAGCTTGGGGGCTTCCAATGCTGCCCAAGAGAAGACAGGGTGACCCCGTTCTGTCTGTTGAAGGAGACAGGAGGGAGCGATCTGAGCCCCAACCTCAGCAGGCTCCCAGACTTGCTGCTTGTATCCGAGAAAGGGAAGAACCAGAAGCCTAGAGGTCCCAGGAGCCTGAGGGCAGATAGGCGCGCCCTAGCTTGGAGAGGCTGGGGCTTGGGTGGCCTGAAAGAGAGGCCTGCGTGAGGTTTTGCACGAGGGGAGCGGAGGAGAGAGCTGTGTGGCTAATGTGTCCAATTAAATTACTTCAAACCCTGCCGCGGCAGCTGCTCCCCGTGGGGCTCTGGGTACAAATTGGATCCATCTCATTACCACAGGGTGGTGTCAGCAGGGCCAGAAAGCTGCGGCCAAACATGGCCAGCACTTCCCGGGCCCTCTTCTGCTCTGCCCAACCTGGCCCTACCTTGGTGACTTACTCCAGCACCCTTCAGAGTCCCCTAATAAACTGGGTCTAGATATTGGGGCTTCCTGCCCACTTTGCCCATCCCTTATCCCATCCCTGGCAGCCTCAGGACCCCTCTTGAGTCCTTGCTCTTTTTTCTCTCCAGTAATGGGGGTGCTTTGTGTTTTGCAAGGGGTCCCCTCTCAACACACCCTGGCCTTCGTTCCTGATAGTATCTGTAGAGCCAAAATAGCGAGCGCTGTATTCATGGAATGCTGATTGTATACTAAGCACCTTGCTTGTATGTTGCCAGCTGTGGCTGTCCATGTAAGTCTTGACATAGACCCTAGCTGGCAGATGGTCTCAGTTTTCTCCTCTGTGAAATGGGCAGCGACATGGCTCTCTCCTCCTGGGGGGGGGGGCTGGAGGATGAGGTGAGTTAAGGCAGGATTCATATTCAGCAGAGAGCCTAGCACATAGTAAATACTCAGCCAACGGCAGCTGTTATCAACATGATCGTGTACCGAGTGATTGATGTGTGGGACGGGAGTTCTGGGAGCTCCAAAGAGGACATGCCTGCTGCTTTCTTGGTGGCAGAGTTGGGCAGGACTTCACTGAGCTGGTGACAGGTATCACCAGAATACCCAAGACTGTTGAGTGCCAGCTGTGGGCTTGGTGTTGTTTTAAGTATATAGCACACTGGCCCATCCTCAGAAAGCCCTGGCAGGTGAGAGTTTACAAGTAAAATAAGTCGGTCTGGGATTTCAGCCACACTACTGGACCCGAGTGTGAGCTCTGGGTATAGGACCTTGGCACTTGAAGGCAGAATAAGAGCTTGCACAAGCAAGGCCTTAAGAAAATGGGGACAGCTTATGAGTGGCTTGGGGAGCTGAGGGGTCTTGGCTAGTTGTGGCATCAGTGAGTGCAGAACTTGCCTGGAAGGAAGACGGGAAGGTGGGCCATGGCAGGATTCAAGGCTTGGAAGGTACTTGGGTCAGAATACAAAGGTCCTAGCATTCACAAATACCAAAGCTGGTTTTTTTTTCAATTAAGTCAATAGAAGCTTTTCAGCAGGTGAACAGCATGGGAGTGTGGAGGATGGGAGAGCCAGATGCAGGCAAGTAGATGGAGCAGGAATCGCTGTGGGGAGCATTCCTGCCCCTACTTCAGCTCAGCTTCTCCTCAGTCTTTTACCTACACAGGGCTGGGTCCCAGCTTACCCACATTAAGAGCTGTGCACCACTCAATTAGACTAGATCCTACCTTTGGCAATCTAGTGGCTGGGAATGGGCAGTCTGATGGGGCTGGGCATCAACAAAGATTCAAGCATTGCTTCCTGGGGCATCAGAAAAGGCTTCTCATAGCTGGATGAACCACTGGTGGTTCATCCCTGTAACCCCACTCGTGCCCGTAATCCTAGCTACTCAGGAGGCTGAGATCTGAGGATTGCGTTTCAAAGCTATCCTGGGCAGGAAAATGCTCTTATCTACAATTAACCACTAGAAAACCAAAAGGGGCACCATGGCTCAAAGTGATAGAGTGCTCACTTTGAGCAAAAAAGCTCAGGGACAGCAAGCACTTAAGCCCTGAGTTCAAGCCCCACAACTGACAAAGAGGAAGGAAGGAAGGAAGGAAGGAAGGAAGGAAGGAAGGAAGGAAGGAAGGAAGGAAGGAAGGAAGGAAGGGAGAAAAAGAAAGAAAGAAAGAAAGGTCTTCTCAAGGATGACCAGCTAGGTGGGCAAGCTAGCAAGATAGGAAGGCCCAGGCCTGGGGGGCACAGATAATGTTCTTGAGGATTGGTTCTGTGTCTGTTCCTACCCTGGGCATTGGGCCCAGGCCCTGGAGAAGCCACGCTCTAGCCACCAGGCCTGAGCTCCAGTGCCCCATCAGAGCCAAACTGTCTCCACGGCAACTCGGCGGGCCGCCTCCCTTTCTGTGCCCACGGCCCTTGGCACAAGGGCGGTTCCCAGCAGGGCCTGGGTATGTCTTCCTACTTCCTTTGGGGGGGTTGTCTCAGGGCAAGCACCCTCACATGGAGGTCCTGGCAGCACACAGGTTGGCATTTGTGTCTGTGTGCTCGTGTGTGTGTGTGTGTGTGTGTGTATGTGCGCGCGCGCACACGCACATTCATCCTAAAATGAGAGGTAGGGAGAGGGCCTATAGGGCCCACTCACTTTAGCTGTGGATTTGTTCCATGGGAGGGGGTCAGTCAGATGGCATCAAAGAGTCTGATACCAGGATGAAGGGTGGACCTCTGCTATGGGAAGAAAGCAAGCCCAGAAAGGGGTCGTTGGGAGGAACTGAAGGTTCTAGCAGGAAGTCTCACAGATCCTTTGGCTCCTTTATTTAATCCTCACAGCTGTCTTGCAAGGGAGATCAAATTGTCACTGTCTTACAGATAAGGAAACCGAGCCCCAGAACGCTGGAGGGTCCTGGGTGGGTCACTCAGCAGATGTAGGATAAGACGGAGTCAGCCTGACTTCAAAGGCAAGGTCCTAACCACTTGAATCCACTGCCTGGCACCTCCCTTACCCTACTAGGATCCAAGCCAGCCTGTCTCTCAGCCTGTCTCTCAGAAGGGAGCGCTTGAAGTTTGTACTGGCTGCAGAGCTGGATTCAGAATGTGTCCCCAGCACTTCCTTTAGTGCTTGGGCTGTCCTCTGAAGCCTTTGTTCTCAGGTTCCTGAATGGAGTAAAAGCTCCTACCCACCCTGTCTCCATCATCCTCTTCTCCAGGCAAGGTGGAGGGATCCTCTCACCAGGGGAGGCTCCTGGGGAAAATGGGAGGAGCCCTCACTCCCAGCTTGGTACCTGCCAGCCCCAGAGGAGCCTCATGAATCGTCTGTGTGCCCCCCATACACAACCTCATTCCTCCCTCTCCAGCCCCCGCCTGGTTGGGGAGGTGCGAAGGGAGCGATTTCACAGCCTGTCAGCTGAGGCCTAAAAATACCCAGAACTCAGAGATGCTTGGGCAGGGGGAGGAGAGAGCAGGGACCAGGAATGGGACGGAGGGGTGCAATGGTAACTCAGTCAGCGGAATCGTGGTGGTGAGGAGAGTGAGGGGCAGGTGCTCTATTCCAGGTGCCCCTGTGGCCCCACATCTGGCAGTGACAACAGGAGGTGGCTATCCCTAGGGTTGTAAGAACTCAGCAGTGGCCTGGGGGAGGGGGGACATGGTCTCCAATAGGAACTGTGGACCCCAGACCTCTCCCCACCCCCAAGCTTCCAGCTGATGTCTCTTTCTCCCTCTCCGCCCCAGATTGGCTGGCATCTTTGGAGCCAGGCTGAGCCCTGGGCTGTCTCCTTCCCGGAGAGGTGCCTGCGTCTGTTCAGGGAGAGGCATGAGGAAGGCGGTGGGGATGGGGTGCCGGCAGGTATGTGATTTGATGAGCCAGCCACCCAGGCGCTAGAAGGAAGCGGAGGAGAAAAGGGTGTGGTAGTCCACGTCACTGCCACGTGGCCGTGCACTGCAGCATAACACGTGGTCCCCACACATCAACCAGAGTGGGGGACACGGTGTGTGTATGTGTGGGGAGGGTACACGTATGTGCGCATGCGTGTGTGAATTGAGCTGCTGGGAGTTGGGCTGTTCTGGAATGTTTGTGACATGTGTTGCCCAGCAGGGCCAGGCCACCTAGAAGCAAGGTGGAAGCACAGAAACAGGTGTGGAACAGACAGCACATGCGGGCATGGGGCCGTGTGGAAATCTGATGGCACGGGTGGCTGTGTGGCGGGCGATGGCAGATGTCTCTGCTACAGGGCCTGAGGGTCCTTAGGGAGGTGATACCGAGAGACTTTCAGAGCACGGGGCTCTGGGTCAGAAGGGATGGATTCAAATCTAGAGCTGCCATGTATTGATCGGTTTTGTGACCTTGGGCATCTTGCCCTTGTAGTACTTCATTCCCCACCTGTGAAATGGGGTATTTGAATCTGTAAACTGCCAAAGACTGCCTGTACAGTTACTGCCGAGCACTAAGGCCCAGAGAGGGCGAATGATCTGTGCAAAGATATACAGTAACTTGGCAGCAGAGCCAGCAAAACAACCCAGACTGTGGTATCCTAAGAGGAGGATTTGATCAAGTCTAGGGCCTCACGGTACTGCCCACTAGGAGCCACACGAACCCTCACCTGCCAGAGCTGGACACTGGTCCTGGGAACTCAGACTTCAGCACCTTCAGCTAATGCCATGTTGTAGGGGTCCTCGGGGCAGTGGCCTTGACATAGCCGACCACCCTAGATCCATTGTCTAAGTAGAGTTGGCACCATTTTCACTGGCTAGCTCTGTAGATGTGGCCAAATCACTCAACCCTCGTGAGTCCTAGTTTCTTCTCTATAATAGGATAACAGTACTGTGTACTTTATGGGGTTGTCATGGGGATCAAACGGAGTCCTGCATACCATGTGGTAAGTAGCTGGCACACTGCCTACTAGGTGTTTGATAATGTTGCTGCAATTAGAACCCTGCCAGAACCCTTCCACCTAGTGCCGTCGTTCACTTCCCTTCCACCTGTGGCCATCCTTGCTCCTTTCCGTTCACTGCCCCACTGTCCACAGAGCTTTGATCAGAGTGTGACTTCCTGGCAACCAAGATCCCTGTCTTCTTGTGCCATTGTTGCCCAGGAGGGAAGGGAACAGGGCCCACCACTGGGTGGACCTCTGCATCTGGCTTCAGCATCCACTGGCCATATGACCTTGGATGAGTACCATTTCCTCTCTGAGCCTTGATCCTCCCCCCTACCCCCAGAAGTGAAGAAGCTGGACCAGACAGTTCTAAAGGCTTCAAGTCATGTTGCTGTATGACCCAGGAGGGGCCCTGGCTCAGCCCACTGGAGGAGGTGGCAGGCGGACAGGGAAGGAGGTCAATTGGCTGCCCACAATGAGTGGAGCATCTGGCTGGTGGCCTGCCGTCGTGCCCGCCCGCACCTGTGGCTGTGCAGGAGGGCGTGCAAGCCTGGCTGGCTGGGTACTGACATTGGGGAGGCTCAAGGACAATGACGTAGAGAGAGCCCTTCTTGTGGCCGTGGGATCTGCCACTCCAAGCTGTCCTTCCCCATCCTCCTCCCCCTTCTCTCTGGGGTTTTCCTCCAGCAATTCCCCCTTCCTTCCTGCCCTTCCTCTCTCCTTCCCCTTCCTGGAGTCTCCTCTCTCTCTCTCTCTCTCTCTCTCTCTCTCTCTCTCTCTCTCTCTCTCTCTCTCTCTCTCTCTCTCTCTCCTACAATTTTGACCACTTTCCAAGGTACCTTCTTCCTCTCTGTACAGAAGTCCTTCCCTCTCCTCTGCCTCTGGTTCCTCAGAGTCCTTCCCTTCTTCCTTCCTGTATCCCAGTTTCTCCAGATATCCCAGACTCCCTCTGCTGCTCTAGGACCTAAGTCTCCTCAACTCTGCACAGTTTTGTCCAGGCTGCTTCTAGCTTCATGGCCTCTGGTGCTATTGCTCACTGAGCCTCTCCCTCCCTAGCATCCTCACTTTCCTTCTTCCAGTTCCTTGAACTGTCCTTTTCCTTCATACTCTCCCTGCCCCAACCCCTGCCCTGACAGGCCCTGTTTCCATAGCTGTGTCTGCTACCTAGTGTTTCCACAACCCCAACCCCCGCCCCTGTGAGTTGAGAAAGGGGTCAACTCAGGGCCTTGGGACTGGCAGCCTTGCTTCCTAATTAGCAGAAGGTAATTGCCTGGAAAAAATTTTCATTTAGAATGAGACTCCAAGACTTCATGTTAAAGCTGAGCCAGCTGATGGCCCCTAGGGAAGAGGAGGGGGGATATAGCCCTCATCGGGGCTTCAGAAAGCCCCTCACGAGATGGAGACACCTAGAACTCCCTGCCTGGCTCACCCACAGGACACCAACCTTAGGCTCTGGCCAGTTGGCTGGCCCACCATCTCAACTGGGTTCTGACTATATGCTTGCTGTGCAACTTAGGACAAGTCACTTTGTTTTTCAAGCCTTTTATTTTCTCTCCTATATAATCCTAGCTTGCCCATCCCTGCCCACCTTGGCCCTCACAGTACTTAGCAGGCTCTAAGTGCTACAGAGACGAGGCATTGTTGTCCTTTTCCACAGGGCTCTCGGGTGAGAGGTGAGGTTGGTGGAGAGGTGGCATGGGCTTGACAATACCTAAGGATAGATGGATCTCTGGAACACACAGCTGAGCTGTAAATCCAGACATAGGGTTTCACATGTGTGCCAGTCTCTCTCTCCCTCTCCCTCTCTCTCCTTCTTTGGTGCTGGTTCTAGAGCTTGAACTTAGGTTCCAAGTGCTGTCCCTGAGCTTTTTTATTGGCTCAAGCCTAGCACTCTATCACTTGAGCTATGGCTTTATTTCTGGGTTTTTTTGGTGGTTAATTAGAGATAAGACTCTTAGGGACTTTTCTGCTCAGGCTGGCTTTGAACCACGATCTTCAGACCTCAGCCTCCTGAGTAGCTAGGAAATTACAGGCGTGAACCATTGGTGCTTCATGCAAGTCTTAATACTCACGAGCTACCCTGTCTGAGTGGGTACCTCACCTCTCCCAACCCTACTTTCCTCATCTGTCACATGGTTGAACATGATGCTTTCTCTGGCAGGGCAGGGGAGGGGGAAGGGTTGTAAGGCCAAATGATATTATGTTTACAGAACTCAGTACAGTGCTTGGTATATAGCAAGTGCTCAATAAGTGATAGTGGCTGGATCTACTGTCATTAAAGGTCATCAGCTTTACTCCATGTCTGGATCTATAGCAGCTCTTATCTTCAGATGGTTTTATTTGCTTTGCTTTGTGTTTGCCAAAGGAGGGGAGTTTCTCCAGCTAGTGAGGCTAATCTTAAGTAGTCTTAAGAAGCACCAAGCATAATTGCTACTTAGCTGTAGATTAAGAGAAATAGGAGTGTCCTGCAGTTGTGTTCTTTCCCATCTTGCCCCCAGCTCCTCACTTATTCGTAGGGAGGTGTTGTAGGCAAGGTTCTTGTTCTGGAGATTGTGAAGTAGGGGGTTTCTGCTCTGGGAGAGACTTTGCTGGGCTTGCAGCAGAAGGAATGGTTAGGTTTTGTTTCAACAAGTCCACCCCACCCTTCTGGAGGAGGGAGCCGGAAGTTCCCAGGACTGGTCATCTGGGTTGAGCCTGCGCTGTGGCCTGGCCAGCATGCACTCAAGTAGACAGGACACAGTCAGACAAGTAGGAGTGTGCGGGTGTGAGCAATGCTGCAAGCTCAGAGTGCCAGATTGCCCCAGGAGCAGTGAGGGGGTGGCGGGGGCCATACCGTCTGCCGCTCCTTCCCTGCCCGCCCAGCACCACCGCTGGGGACCTTCTGTGCTCCTGTTCTGGGTGCAGTAGTACCACGCCAGCCACCAGGAGGCAGAGTGGCTGGCTACCCTGGAAGGAAGAGGGCTCTTTATATTAGTGGTGAAACTCTTTCTGTCGGGGTTCACTCACCAGCTGAGCTGAAGGAGCCCTTCAGATCCACCAGTCTGCAGTTGGAGACTGATTGGGAGGAACTGGTAGTGTTACATACTAAGATACTGTTGTAAAAAGGCTCTAGTTTCTTGAATCCTATTGTCAAAAGCAATGCCAAGTGCGTGGAGAAGAGGAAGCCATAAAGGAGGGCACCATCCTGGCCCGGGAGAGGTTTCAGCACCAAGGCCAGGGGCAAGCAGGGGGTAGAGGTTTCAGCACCATGGACAGCGCAAAGCACCTGCCGGCTCTGTCATCATCTGTGGTATGATAAGGCTGGAATAGTAAAACAACACCTTTGAAAGAGAACCTCAGACATCCTAAGTTCCAACAAGAAGGCCGAGAACCAGGCAGATGAGTGAGTAATCCAAGGTCATAAAGCCGATGGAGAAGCAGAACTCTCCATCCATCTCTCCCACATCTGGATTTCTACATCCTGCTAATCACCTGACTCAGACATCTCTGGGAGCCACTTCACATGCTAGTGTATCCTCCAGATCCCTGGCAAGGACTGAGCATTCCCCTCCCCCGCTAAAAAAAAAAAAACCCTAGCCAGGGATCTGAAACTCAGAGTAGATGATTCCTCACCTCTGTGGCCTTCATGGCTCTAAGCCTCATGTAGGAGGAAGTCAGGAAGGACAGGTGCCATGTCCTATATGGAAGCCTGTAGCCTGAGGAGGTAGAGTTGAGTCATCAGATGAGGAATTGTACAGTGCTCCTGAGATCCACAAATGAAATACAGCACACCGTTCCAACCCCAGCTTCTTTGCAGCCCTGTATTATTAATAACAATAAGATGCTGATTTAGACCAAGGCACAACTATGCATTATTCATAAGAGTAACTAGTGGTCAAGGCCCGCACTTAATCATCACACATCCCTGATCCTGCTTCCGCTCCACACTCCTGGAGGAGAGGCAGGATCATCTCACCTACTCGTCTTGGGCTCC